AACTAATATGTGAGAGTTAGCCAATAAGAGGCTAGACATAATGGGCCAGACAGTGTAAATTAATACAGTTTTTGTGTGATTATTTCGGGTGTAATCTAGCAGGGCGGCAGGGAGAAAATGCAGGCTCCTTTCCCTCAACAATTGGCACCTCAATGTGGTTAACTAAATCCACGTAAAACCTGAGAGGGCTTGAAAAGAAATTCTAGACACAGAGATAAAACAAAATTTAACACAGTTTTTCACTGTTTGCTGGTGGCATGCTCCTGAGAGATTTTCCTGACTCAGCGATAGCAACAATTTAAAAAAGCCACGCCATTTTAAAACGAGGCTTCCTGGGCCCTGCCGCTGGTGCAATCTCCAGCTATGGAGCATTTGTGGGCCTAGATGTTTGTGTGCTCATTTGGAGTTGGAAACAAAGTACCTGAGACCATGCCTGTGTCTTGGCACTCCCTGCCTGGGTAGGCAGCAGGGTCAGGTCTACTAGAAAGTGGCGGTCTTGAAATACCAGTTTCTGGGCTGTGCCGCCAGTGCAACCTGTCTCTTGCAGGAGACAGAGAATTTCAAATGGGGTTTGTGACTAAAGGGCTATGGTTTGTTTGATTGCAACTGGACTGGCTATGTGCCTAAAAGGGGGGCATTGTGTGCCAAGGCTCAGAGGCACAAGTGACTCAGAGGCACAAGCAGCTCTGCCATGCTAGTGGTGCAGTGCGCACGGCTCAGAGGCACAAGCAGTTCTGCCATGTTGGACTGGGCAGGGCAACCAGACAGTACCTGTATTTGACCTGGGATTGTCGCAGCTTAGATTCTTAAGAGCTTAGCATTTTAAAAGCACAAAGCAAAAGTGTTCCTGGACAGTAAAGAATTACAGATTCGCAATAGGACAGATTCAGACATAAAAGACCTCTAAATGGGTCACAGTGTTGAATAAAGGTATGTAGTAGGCTTAAAAGAGAAAAGAAATAAAGAGTATAGGGAGTCATAAAATAGTTAATGCTTTTAAAAAAGGGTAAAGTCTTTAAAGAGACAGAGTACAGATAGTCATAGATTAAAAGAAGTAAAGAGAAATAATCCACGTAAAAATGGAAAATTCACAGAGAGTCTGGATTATGTGTATTATTGTGTTTTCTTTCAATTTTTTGACTGTGAAGGAGCTAAGTACAGAGAGACTTTTCATTGTATGTGCTGCTAAACTAATCCAGCATGTATATCAAAAGGTATCTTGACTTCAGAATTTGGGTGTAAAGATATGATGCTTTGGAAAAGAGGTTCTTCTTTTGTTTTCACAGAGGATGAGACCCTGTGGATTGCTTCTAGACCAATACGGTATGATAGACCACGCCCTCCTGAAAGGTTGCCATAAACACCCTCAAAAATTACTTTGTTCAACTGCTAACTGAGAGTAACCTAGCAAACAGGATACACCATGAAAGACCTGATTAACAGCACCTCCATACAGCATGAAGCAGTTTGGAGAGAAAAAACTAAGCCCGTATTCCCAAATATTGTTTATAAATGTTCTTTTACATTTAAAGGGGGTATGATATAGATATAAATAATTTACATTGGTATAAATTTTACTTTATTGGTATAAATTTTACTTTATTGGTATAAATTTTACTTTATTGATATAAATTTAAGGTCAATCTTGTTATATGTATATCTATTTTTGATCTTGATTAAGGCACTGTGATTGTGTAGTTCACTTAAAAATGTAATGTATAATTAGAAAATATATGTTGTTAGTGGATAATCATCGAAAATAGTCAAGCTTGTAGTCATGTTAGTTAAGATTTTCTAGCTATATAGAGATATATTTCAGTTAGATAGGCATTCTTCATATCTTTCAAAGACTACAGAATATGGCATTTTAAATATTTTAATAACTTAGGGCTTTTCATGACAATGAGACACGTCTGCTCCTGACAGTACCAAGCTACTTCATGAGGAAGATGGGCATCGAAGAGGCTCCTTATGGAGTTGGTTAGACATTTGGGCAAGAAACTGCTCTTGCCTGGACTGTTCCATGAACTGGACATGAAGAATCCACAGAGAAAGGACTGCTGAACTTGCCTAAAGGTGAGATGGTCCTTCAGGGTTCCTGTTTCATGAAAGAGTCTTGTGAGACATTCTGCAGGACACAGAAGAAAATGACTGAACTGTCTTTGGAATTTCCTGCTTCATGGAAATGTCTGCTGGATACTATGGGCCTGTAGGCTGAAGATGGATGCCCCAACGGTACAAAAGAACTTTGGGTAACTGTACAGGCAGCGAGATGTCTCTGTCAATTCTAGAGTTTTGGAAGTTGCTTACTTCCTGTTTACTTAGGTAATATTACATCCTTTTTGGAGTCTTTGTTGGAGTTGAAGAGTTGATAGATAGTTATAGTTTTCCTTTGTTATGGTAAAAGATAAAATAGATCTAAATATTGTAACTGTAATTCTTTCTTGATACCTGTTATATGTAATTTTACTATGTTAAAGCCTTCCTTTTTGTTTAAACAGAAAAGGGGAAATGGTGTAGGAGGTCCTTCTGTATTTGTGTAATTGATTATTAAAGAAACTGTCTTGGCCTAGTTGATAAGGTAGAACAGAGGTAGGTGGGGAAGACAGAACAGAATTCTGGGAGGAAAAAAGCAGAGACAGGCAGATGCCATGGTTCTCCTGCCCGAGATGAATGCTGGTTAGACTCACTGGTAAGCCACAGTCAAGTGGCGATACCCATTAATGGAAATGTGTTAAACTAATATGTGAGAATTAACCAATAAGAGGCTAGACATAATGGGGCAGGCAGTGTTTAAATGAATACAATTTTTGTGTGATTATTTAGGGCAGCCTGGACAAAATGCAGGCTCCTCTCCCTCAACAAAGATTATCAGTTTAAAAACCTATGACATACAACACATAAAATCTAGGTGGATACTGCAACCATGTTTTTTCAATGATTTAAAATTATTTTCCCTATTTGAAAGAAACAAATTGAAAATATAATTTTTAATATATTATTGTTGTAAAAAATGGCATAGATCTCAACAACAACAACAACAAATCCTTAATACTAGTGAACAAACTTCCTTTAAAATAGAGAAAAGGGATGGGGGTCTGAGGGTATGGTTCAATAAGGAAAGTGTTTGCTTTGCAAGCCTAAGAACCTTAGTTCAATACCTATAACCAACCAGTGTGATAGTGTCTAAATGTAATCTGAGTTCTGCAGGAGCAGAAGCATGATGATCCCTGGAAGTAACTGGCAAGCCAATCTAAACTAATTAGTGAGCTCCAGGCCAATGAGAGACCCTGACTCAAAGAAGGTGCATGGAGTTCCTGAGGTACTCAAGGTTGTCTTCCAGCCTTCACATGCACGTGCTTACATATGTGCATATAAACGCACACATGCATATCTAAGCATACAATGTGCATGGACATGCAGACACACACATATAGATCTAAACCATGACATTATTCTTATCTACATTTTACTCATCTATTTTTTTATCTCTGTGTAATCATGTAAAGATGGCTAGGAAATATTCCAAGAAATTTTGACACTAATATTTTTATGGATGTAAGTATATTTCAGTGGTTATATTTCTTCTAGTCTAAACTTTTCTGTAATGCTTATATTTAAGAATGAAGTGGTATCATTTTTATGAAAACAGAGAGAGAGAGAGAGAGAGAGAGAGATTACTTTAAAAAGAAAAGAGTAGAGCAGAATCAGTGGCAGCAGCATCCGCTGGGACTGGTAACAGACAGATAATTGGGACACCTAAAGTTGACTCTGGATAAGGAGTTCCTGGGAACCTTCATTGGGCCAGTGTTTGCTTATCAGCAAATAAGAACAATATAAAGGATAAGTAAAATGAGCTCAAGTTTTTGTTCAGCATCAACATTAATTTGAGTGGCTAATTCTCATGTAAATTCAGAGGAAGTAGTCTTTTAAAAACAAATTTGTCACATTATCCAACAATTTTCTCAAGTATAACTAGATTTAATGAACAATTTTCTTTTCTCTTATAAGCTTTTATAGCTTAATCACATTACAAACTGCAGAGTTCACAATATCCTTGACATTCTCAAAATATTGAAAAAAAAGCAGTTTTATCTACATCAACAAAGAGATATAGTAGTGAGAATACAAGTACAAAACATCCTTCTGATACCAATATTTAAGTATGAATTAGAATATTAAATGTTGATAACTAATGACAGAAAAGAAGAAAAACTTGTATACCCAAAATCTGTGCTTCTAAATCTGAATTTGCTGATAATAATAATAATAAAATACAAGGCAAGAGATATAGATTATGGCTTGACCAGTATAGTGTCTGAGACTCTGGGAACAACCCCTACCATTGCAAAAAAAAAAAAAATCAATTAAAATGGTTCAAATTTAGATGTGCAGCAATTACAATGTTTTGGAAGACTTTTTTTTCATTCCAATGGTTTCAAAATTTAATTTGTTTATGTGTGTATTTTTTAACCTCAGAAGTCTCTTTTTTGAAAGTCTCAACAGCTTTTTGGTACCTTATTTAAAAGGAAATAGCAAAATATTAAGGTGAAAAAATACCTGACAGTGTTTGCTGGTAACTTTGTAGTTTGTGAAATATTATAAGCCTTGTATTTTCTGTCTGGTTTAATTATTTTTAAAGAATTATTTGGCTGTTTTTTTGCATTGTGTTAATCTTCTGAACCGAGAAGCTGCCAGAGGATATAATTTTCTATTAACTAAGAAAAATTTTTTTATTTAGTTCAACTATAAAGCAGTATTTCTCCCCATAAATTCCAGCATTGTCTCTGAACTTGATCCGTCTCCTGCTTTTATATTGCTGAACTATAGTTAAACAAATTCATCCTATTTATTTTGAAGATCATAAAATTAAGAATGGCATTTTCCATGAAAAGATGCTATGGCCATTTTGCTAACCCAACAGTTTATTCCAACTACATGCCCCTGAAATCAAATGTTTACGGTTTTGTGTGATATTTAAATCTTGTCACACTGAGAGTTTAAACAAACACTGTTATCACGTAAAAGGAACTTACCTTTGCAATTATTACTGACTGAGCTGGATAACAAACAGTTGCTCCTAATGAGGCCAATCCTAGTGGATAAGCAATCTTCTTAAACCTAGAACCTATGAAATTCAAACAAATCATTCACTCTAAATAGATACCACCAGAGACTTGATGTTATTACACTGTAATATATTCTTTGCCCCTCTTTAAGCTACCACCCTATGTTAAATTGCTCTGTAGTTAGTAATACCAATCAAGATGGTACCTAAAATGCCCTTAAGGTTCTCAATTCAATTAATGTCCCTTAACCATCATGTCCAATTTAAGAAAAATGTTCCGAACCTAATAATTATCTACACAAAGGGATTAGTAATTATCTTCATTTTTAAAAGATTGATTATTTTCATATCCTAAGAAACTTAAAATTATAATTATACTTTTTTCAAATATCTAACAAAGCATGATAGAATTAATCAACTACTGTGTTCATCAAAGCAGGTTAAAGTGAAATGGACTCTCTTCTATATGCCCTTTCTGATTAACACTTAGAAAGGTGAAGGACCCAACTAACCAATCAGCTAACGACCTCAAAAGGTACATAACTCCATGTCACTGAATCAGAATACTGAAGTAATACTAATTACAATTAGCTTGACATAATTAATGCATTTTTAAAAGTGCCTTAACCAAGCATCTAAGAGTCATTTTCATATCATTTTTTTGACAGTAAAATCTCTTTTTAAAAAATTCCAAAGAGAATCTTAGTAGGAACTCACTAGGTTCTCACTAGGAGCCTGTCAACTTGAAATTGCTCTGACTAACCCGGGTATAAGAATTTCTGTATCAAGCCCTGTCACACAGCTTTTATCTTAACCCCACACGCCACCTAAAGACTTCCATAGAACCATAGTAATGCTGTATAACAATGGGAAATAGAACATTCATAGCTGAAACTTAGACTTATAAGACCACTGCTTCAAAATAATATGCATCTTAAATATCTGTCTGGGTTTTTTGGACTCTGAAGAGATTAAGCAATTACATGTCACTTTTTCAACCAAAGTACTGGTAATTCTAACAGCTTTTTGGCCCCTTATTTAAAAGGGAAATATCAAAATATTAAGGTGAAAAAATATTTGGCAACGTTTTCTGGTAACTTTGCAGTTTGTGAAATGTTACAAGCCTTGTATTTTCTCTGTCTGGTTTAGTTATTTTTAAAGAAGCCTGTTATAGTCAGGTCAACAATAGACTGAGCTTAGCTAAGGTGGGTAGGAAGGATGCTTTCTGTGGAATAGGGAGAGAAAGTCTAGACTACCAACATATCCTAAACTGAATGGCAACTCTGCTTCTCCTTGGTATTTTTGTTTCATTCTTGATTTAACAATCCCAATATGTAAAAATTAGCATCTCTTAACTAATGAAAATTCCATGAACTATGGTGGTATATGGCAGGTTTTCTTTGATAAATTATTGAAAAAAATGGCATTCACTCTTTCCATACTTGTATATAAGGAACAATTCTGCAAAATGGAGTTTCATGTAGGTTCAAAATTCTACTTTTACAATTAAGAAAGAATACTTAGCACAGATACTAAGTAGCACTGTGCACTTAGAAATATGCAAATGGCTTTCTTTTAGATTCCTATCTTCAGTACAATAGGGTTATAAGAAAGAAATAGTTTTCTTGTTTTTACTGTACTATGACCTATATAAATAAGGTTTACATATGACCTATGGCCTATTACACATCGTACATTTCTCTGAGACAAAAGTTTCATGGTATTTACTCAAATAGTAAGCACAAAACATTCTGTATTTGCTATTCTCTCGTAATTTATAACATTTCAAATAAAATACACCTTCAGATCTAATGTGTTTATTTCACTATCAACAAGGTTTAGATTATTCTAGTGGTCACATAAAGAAATACTTTCTCTTACCAGAGGATTATTATTTTGTAATTAAGAAACTAAGCAATACATTGTAGACAAATTCCTAAAACTCAAGGAATAAGATATTGAAGTGAGTTGGAAGAAAAAAAAGCAAACACAATTATGCAGAGATAATCAGTTCTACTGACCTATATAGTACAGTGAGGCTACTATAGTTCCTAGTAACCTATTATATATTTTATGAATATAAAAGAGCTCAAGAGCACTCAATATAAAGAAATAATAATCTTATGGAAGACAGTGAAAATGATGATATGCATATGAAATAGAGTTGTAAATAGCATGCATAAAAGGAGTTAACACGGTAAACTCAAGACTGCTGCCATCAGCAGCTTCTGCTAGCATCTGCAAACTTCTCCTCTTGGAAGTCTGGAATTTTGGTAGATAGATACTATTTACATGACTAGCCCTCAATGAAATCTTGGTCACTCTTCTGCCTATAGTTGTCACTCAATACTCGGCTTTATTCATATTGTCTCAACTTGTTACTGAAGAAATTAAGTATATGTTTTATTAGTCACTGGGAAAAGACTGCTAGAAACTTATAACTTGTTTTTTTCTAAACTTTGTCCTATGTCATTTCCCCCTTTTAAATTTCATCCTATACCTCCCATTGCAATAGGTCTTGTCCATGTCCATAACTACATACTGAGCCCTGTGAGTCTTTGCAACTAGTCATCAAGACTGATTGCAATCTTATGAATCTGACAGTTCACATGAGAACTAGAGTCTGATGGAAAAATAGGTACAGATACCTTGTTTAAAAAGGTTTTAAAAATCAAATATATCAAGTCTCATAGTGAATAGTGAATAAGAGTGGTAGACTGAGTTATCCACATTTACAGACTCCATTCCCATCTGGTTAATATTAATTTCAACTACTTTGGTCAGGATAAAACCAAAAGTAAACCAGGTTTTATATGATATAGCATGTCCATGTCTTTCTCAAATCCTTAACAGAGCTTCCAATATGAGTAGTATGACTCTAAGAGAAGCAGTTTTGAGTGGATAGTGTATATCTTTATATTAACATACAATTCTCAAGAATTTTTTGGTAGTATAAATATCTTTAGATTAAAAAAAAAACAAAATTGCAATAACAAGGCAGCAAACAAGGGCAAATTACATTTTTACAGTTATACATTTTTAATATTTTGTTTAAAAAAGTAATATCTTTGTACATTTTAATATATAGTCTTATAACTAAAAATACTTCATATTTTCCTTTTGCAGTTGTACATTTCCCACATTCTTAACCTCAGGCAACTAACAATCTACTTTCTGTCACTCTAATCCTGTCCTTTTGAGAATGTCATACAAACAGAATCGGACATTCACTGCCTACTTTCAAATTCACAACCAATGTCATATGTACCAATAGCTCAAACTATTTTGATGCTAAGGGGTTTTCCTTGTAGGACTGTGCCACAGATTCCTTTATCCACTTGCCTATTTAAAGGATATTCAACTTGTTTCCAGATTTTATATGATTGACATTGCAATAAGCATTTATGCAGGGGTGTGTCGTTTCTTTAATATCTTAGTTATGGTTGCTATTGTGACAAAACACCATGACCAAAAACCAAGTTGAGCAGAAAAGATTTTATTTGGCTTACTCTTCCATATTGTTGTTCACTGCTGAAGGAAGTCATGACAGGAACTCAAACAGGGCAGGAAGCTAGAGGCAGGAGCTGATGCAGAGACCATGGAGGGCTACTGCTTACTGACTTGCTTCCCATGGCTTGCTCAGCCTGCTTTCTTTTTTTTTTTCTTTTTTTTTTTTTTTTTTTTGGTTTTTTCGAGACAGGGTTTCTCTGTGGCTTTGGAGCCTGTCCTGGAACTAGCTCTGTAGACCAGGCTGGGCTTGAACTCACAGAGATCCGCCTGCCTCTGCCTCCCGAGTGCTGGGATTAAAGGCATGTGCCACCATCGCCCAGCCTAGCCTGCTTTCTTGTAGAACCCAAGACCACCAGCCTAAGAGTGGCACCATCAGTGCACCATGGGCTGGGCCCTCTCTCATCAATCAGTAATTAAGAAAATGTCTTATGGCTGGATGCTATGGAGGCATTTTCACAGTTAAGGTTACCTCCTTGCAGATAACTCTAGCTTGTGTCAAGATGACACGAGACTGGGCAGCATATCTAGGGAAAGGAAATACTTGGGAATGTGATTCCTATGTTGCTTGATAAGTGTATGTTTAAATTTATGAGAAATCATCAATTCTTCAGAATTCCTATATCACTTTGCATTTTTCCCAGAAGAATAAAAGAATTTCAGTTGTTCATATACTTTACTACAGATAGTATGGTCAAGCTTATGGTATGGTAAAAAATGTAAACATTTTACACTAACCTAATCTGATATTATCCAATAAAAGTCATGAAGGTAAAAATCAGAACTAACGTAACAGAAAATATATAGTATAAACATACCTTTCCTTGCTGTGACCAAACCCGCCAGTCCCGAAGCTGTAATCACTCCCAGTTTAGGAAAAAAATCTTGAGGAGGATTCTTCAGATAGACATATGCATCTGAGGAGACCAGTTGAGAATGAGTAAGAGTGACTGACTGCAATTGGACATTCTATATAAGTGTAGTACAGAGCAGCTGGAGACTAGCATGTTACAGGAAGACAATATAATGTTAGTGAGCAGTTTAAATACTCTTCAGATAAGGTACACAAGAAATTGAAATGGACAGAAACAAATCACTTAGTATAATACTAAACTATAAAATCAAATTTACCTTCCATAGGTCATTTAATACTTGCCTTCTTTGTCACATAGATTATTCAATAAACTATAATGCTAGATGGTATAGCTTAAATAAAATAAATTCCTGACTGTGTATGTTTTACATACCTACAATTAACAGGCTTCTACTGTTACCTGTTTAAACACTGGTAGGATCCATCAAGAATTAACAATATCTTCTAAAGGAATTTTGCGATTAGACACTTCTTATCACTATCTCCCAATAACCTCACATTAGCCATTGATTAAAGATCATGATGAGAAGTGAAAATAGACAAAAACATATAAAGCATAATCAAAAGTATATATGCCTCAGTGTTTTAAATATAAAAATTGTTTCCAGATCTAAAAATATATTCTTCTATCATAGTTATTTGATGACAATCACATATATAACTATGCTCCTCAAGATTAATGAAAGTGTTTTAAATATAAAAATTGTTTCCAGATCTAAAAATATATTCTTCTATCATAGTTATTTGATGACAATCACATATATAACTATGCTCCTCAAGATTAATGAAGGATAGCTGGGTATATTGGTGCATATATTAATGCAGCACTTGAGATGATAAGACAGGAAGATAATGAGTTCCAGGTTAACCTAGGCTACACAGTAAGATGCTGTCCCAAAAATATTGATAGTTAATCCTTAGTGTATATTAAGTACTACTATTGCAAATAAAGTTCATTAAGTTTATTGTAGGTACCTAAAATTTTAGCTGATAATTCTTTCTGCTTTCCATACATGTTTAATTTTGCCAACACCTCTAAGCAAGGAATATTAGGAAGTTATGTCTGCTGCCAAATACCATTAAGGAGCTAAAACATCAAATACAATTACTTTCCAATATTAGGTGAAACATATCAAGATGAGTGATAGCTATGTCATTTCCCATCAATTGATAAAAAAGCATGATGAATTTAACAGATAATAACACTCATTTAAATGAATTAGCAAAGAGGGGATAAATCTTTACCTTATGCTTTATAAATATACAATGTGGACTTTCAGTTAAAAGTGACCTGAGTTTAAACCTGGGTATTGTCTCTGAATAACCTTGGGAAACTAATTAAACTTTCTAACCCTCCATTTCTAATCTGTAAGAAAAAACTCTATAGCTAGAACAGCAACACTCAGCAACCTAACAAGGCCTAGCATGTAATAAATTTCAAAATAAATAGTACATACTATTTATTTGTTATTATTACAAATAAAACCCAGAATCTATCTTCTACATCAGTATAATCATCACAATGGGTAATATACTATGTTTATATTCTTAAATTTTACACAGTATAACTTAAAACCATAATATGTTTCTATTTATAGAGGGTTTACTCACCTACCTTTACCAAATTGTACTGTATCCACTATCCCATTCTTCATAAAGATATAAACACCCTAAGCAAAAAAAGGAACAAAAGAGGATGTGAATTTTTGAAGTGGTTGATTGACACAATAGCTCCCAGTTTTGTGATGACATTTAGCTGTTGATTTAGTACTGCACTCAGATCTACAGCCAGATCTTCTGTTTGCCCACTGCTTACTAGATTATCCTTTCATCTCTTACTCTCATTTTACTTAACATAGTAATTCTGGTGTCTTGTTTTTCTCATAGAAGTGGGTAAAGTAATACCTTTAAAATAATCAGTGATATCACAGAACAGATACCAAACACTTTATAATGGCCTGAATAAAATGAATGAATCTTATATAAATCACAAAGGGAGGTCTATCTCAGCAANGCCCACTAAAGGGCTGGAGAGAGCCTGAGATGGCTTTAGCTCTAAAGCTGCAACATTCCATCACAATCACAGTTTTCTACTCAGTCAAGGTCAAAATGGGGAACTTTAGTTCACACGGTGTTGATGTACCATTAGCACTTAAGGTCCGTGTTTACACTGGGTTCCTTCTTGGTGAGGCCTGTTCTTCGGGTTTAGACAAACGGATAGTGACAGAACCCTAAAAAAAAAATCACACGTTCTACCTGTTGAACTTTCCACCGCCCCGACTCATACAAACCGTTGATCCTTTCTTTCGTTTTCTGCATACTTTTATCTTTTCCAGAATGTCAGTGTCATGTACTAGTAGCCACTTCTGGTTGGCTTCCTCCTTTTAATAATAAACACTGTAGTGTTCTCCACGTCTATTTAGGACATGACAGCGCATTTGTTTCCAGCACAGAAGAACCCGTGCCTGTACTTCAGTTTATTTACTCACTTACTGAAGGAACCCTGGTTGCTTCCATGCTTTGGTAATTCTGAACAAAGCTGTTAAGGCATCTTTGTGTGGTTTTCCGTAGATACATTTTCAAGTGCTTAAGTAAAAATTTGACATGTGAAATTTTTAGGCTTTATTGCAGTCATGTGTTCACTTTTTTCTCTTGATTTTACTTTAATTAGGCGTAAGTGTGTGCATATGAATGTGGGTTTGTGCAGTAGGAAGAGACGAGGAGGCAGAAACGTGCGTTCTAGAACGCGTGTTGTGTTACACATGTATGTATTCAAAATCATCTCCAGCTCTCGCCTGTTTCCCAGAGGTGCTCTTCAGAGGCAGTGAGTGTTCATGAAGCTGTTTACTGCCACCTCATGGTAAGATGGTTGAGAAGAACCGTTCACACATGAAAGTTCTGTGGATTTTTAAAACTTGATCATTTTTCAGTTCATTTTGTTCCAGAAAAAGGATGAACATATTATTCTATGTTTGATGCTTAAAAATCACTCCTTCTCAAAGAATTTCTATTTCTCTTCTTTTCTCTTCTCTTCCCTTCCCCTTCCTTCCTTCCTTCCTTCCTTCCTTCCTTCCTTCCTTCCTTCCTTCTTTCCTTCCCTCCTTCCTTCCTTCCCTCCCTTCTTTCTTTCTTTTTTTCTCCAGACAGGGTTTCTCAGTGTAGCCTTGGCTGTCCTGGAACTCACTCAGTAGCCCATGCTAACTTTGAGAACAACCTACTTCTTTCTCCAGACAGCTGGGATTAAAGGTGTGCACCACCACTTCCGGCTAGAGAATTTATTTTCTTATCTTTATATGACAGAGTGTGAGTGAATGTGTGGAACGTGTTCACAGAAATGCAGATGTCCACTGTCCTCCTGGAGCCTGAGTTACTGGCAGTTGTGAGTCACATGCTGTGGGTGCTGGGAACCTAACTCTAGTCCCGATTAGGACATGTGCTCTTAACCCCTGAGCCCTCTCCCCAGCCCGTTACTTCTTCGTACATGCTGGGTACTGACCTCATTTACTCACGGATCATAACCTGTCCCTCTGTTTGCTTTAAGTTTCCCCTCTCTAGTCACTCACTCCCCTCAGTCAGAGCATCCACTGCAGCACGAAACAGCATCACCAAGATCCACCCTTGCAGCCCTGTTCTTTCTTGTCAGCGCTCCCTTCTCCCCTTTGTGACAGAACTCTACACACGTTTCTAGATGTTTTTCTCTTTTTCTTTGCTTATCTAGATTCTGTTATCAACGCACAGACATATATGTACACACACACACACACACACATATATATACACACACATACATATGAACAACACTAAACAGACTCAGCAGTGCGTGTGTGCACGTGTGTGCTCATGATGTGTGTGCACATGTGTATGTACATCAATATTAAAGGGGTCATGAAGTTGAGAGGGAGTGGTGGGAAGGCAGGAGGAGTTGAAGGAGGGAGAAATTGGAGTAGAAATGATGTAAAAACAATACTCATATACTGATGTAAATATGGTGCTTATGCATGAAATTACCAAAAAATGATATAATAAATGCTAAAATCACACATGGGTTGACAATCAGGCTACATTTGTTGGTGAAGTAAAAACTGCGATTATTATTCTAGAATTAGAAAAACACTAGTATGACTATTACTAAGATCTTCACAGTAAAGATGTTGTCAACACACAGCTAAATGTATATGACGATGATAATAAAACATCAGTGTGCTATCAGCTTCCATCTCAGTCAACAATTTCAGCTGAGTCTAGTCTTCCAGCCGCACTTGTCAGGGTGTTAAAGATATAAATTAAGCTATTCTGGCTTCTTTAGCTCAGCCCATTTGTCCGATGAATGACACTGAGTGGCCTCAGGCAATACCACATGAATAGAAGAATCAGCTGTCTGAACTGTCATCACATCCCTAATTCTCAAAATAATGGGCCATTATACAATGCTTGATATTTTAAGCCACTAAGTTTCAAAGTGGTTTTTCTCTTTTAAAAATACATCTATGAATACCTGAAACAATTAATTAAAAACACTGCTATGAAACTACCAAAATAGACTTACCTTGCACCAGCCAACATAACGAACAGCTGTAGTACGGATTGATGCAAAGCCCATTTGTAAATAACCAGGCTGTTCTTCAACATATTTAGAATGGAGAGGTGGTGCAGTATATATGGGGAGCTGAGGATAGAATAAAGTTCATGTCAAAAACAAATAGCTGGGATGCCTTTTCCAGCATTGTGTCAAAACAGGAATCATCATTGGCCTTCCATCTAAAAACCAGCTAAAACTGTCTATAGAATCTACAAATATGATATGATAAACTGACCATAACAACTATTTATAAAGGCAAAATCAAGTGATGTCACATATAGTATGATCCAGTGGGTTGTTTTGTTGTGTTTTTTTTTTTTATATGACAGGGCCTCCCTATGTAGTCCAAGGTACTAAGCTTCAGTATATAGCTCAAGGTTCCTAGATAGCCTCAAACTCATGACTTTCTCACCTGTTTCCTGAGTCCTGGGATTACAGATGAGGATCACCATACCCAAAAGGCACATTACTTTCAATTTTTGCACTTTTAATTGAATTTTATTTAATTATGTGTACATATGTGTGCTCATGATTATGCACACATATGCTATAGTGTGCACATGGAGGTATACAGGAACTGGTTTTCTCAGTTCACTATGAGGATTCCAGGAATTGAATTTACGTCATTAAGCTTGGTGGCAAGAACCTTATCTTAGTTAGCATTTCTACTGCTGTGATGAAAACAACAAGACCAAAAGCAAGTAGGGGAGGAAAGGGTATATTTGGCTTACACTTCCACACTATATAGTCCATCATAGAGGAAGTCAGGGCAGGAATTCAAACAGGCAGGAACCTGGCAAAAGGAGCTGATGCATAGGCTATGGAGGAGTGCTGCTTACTGGCTTGCTCCCCCTGGCTTTCTCAGCCTGCTTTCTTATAGAACCCAGGACCACCAGCATGGTGATGGTACCATGCACCATGGGCTAGGCCCTCCCTCAAACACTAATTGAGAAAATGCCTTACAGCTGGATCTTATAAAAGCATTTTCTCAGTTGAAGTTCACTCCTTTAAGACAACTCTAGCTTGTGTCAAGTTGACATAGACTAGTCAGCACAGGTCTTTACCTGCTAAGTCATCTCACCAGCCCTTAATCCTAGCAAAATTTTAACTGTAAAAATCTGGAAACAATCCAAATAGTCAAAGGGGAATATACACAGTTAAATTAGATCATATCCACACAATGGACTATTGTAAATTAGGGCAAAATTTAAAAACTATAATCACTATAACCACAATGCTGGGCATCATGGTGTATGCCTTCAATCCCACTACTCAGGAGGCAGAGGCAGGCATATCTCCACAGGTCTCAGGCAAAATTAAACAATGCTGCTTGTTCCAAGCCAGTTGGAACTACATAGTGAGATCCTGTTGCAATTAAAATAAATAAAAATCAGTTACAACCACATATAAAGATAAGGATGAACTTCAAGAAAGTACTATTAAACCAAAAAGCTAAGATATAGAAAATTACATGCAAGCATGTCCCATAAATTCAAATGTATATAAACACCCAAATTGCTTAGCAAAACAGATAAGGTACCGTAAAGTGTTTTAGTTTTGTTTGTTTGTTTGTTTTTAAGGAACTAATTGAACTGGAGAAAAGGCTCAGCAGTTAAAAACAGTGGCTGCTTTTCCAGAGGACCTGAGTTCAACTCTCAACACCCATATGGCAGCTCACAATCACCTTTAACTCCCGTTCCAGGGAGGATCTGACACCCTCTCTGGCCTCTGTGGGCACAAAGCACACATGTGGTACACAGACAAGCACACAGGCAAAGCACCCATATTTACATTAAATAAAATTCAAGAGAAAAAATAAAATAAATAAAAAGGGAACAATACAAACTCAGTGGAATCATGGTTATAAGTCAATCTAAAGGGAGGAGAATACAGGACATTTTGCCTTTTCCTCTAAACTGAGTAGCAGCCACATGGTTATCCACTATGATTTCATATTACTGTTATTTATATCTTTCAAATGTCAAACACACTCTAACCAATATTTAATAAAAAAAACAAATGCAAATATAAAAATTATGAAAATAAACAAGAACTGATTTACTTAAAGAAATGATCTCATCCTCAGGGTGTAGCACTTTTCCATGGAGACTCAAGTTTCCAGAATAACAGAAAAGGAACTAGATGACTAATGGCTTTTGATCTGATCTACTAGGAACAAACATGAGAATAAAATGATAAGAGAGTAGATGTAAAAGATACCTATGTGATATGGTACATATGCTAACTCCCATTTGCCTTGCACATTATTCTTTTTCTATAATTAATTAGGTCTTTGCTACCTATACTAGGATTAAAGATCTTTTCTTTTCCCTTTCAAACTAAGGCTTGAATTTAAATTCATCACATACCTATGTGTACTTATGAGTGCCATAAATATATAATTTATATTAAAGATGATATAGATTAGTTACATATAGGTACAAATATAGATATCAGGTATATTATAGAGTGCCATCCCCACCCAGAAAAGAAATATAGATGTGGTGTGTTAATTTCTATGTTTTTCCATCATAAAGTTTTGGGATTTTGTTTTTTAAGGATAGAGCTGGAGAAATGGCTCAACAGCTGTTCTTCCAGAGAACCTGAGTTCAATTCCCAGCATCCACTTGGCAGCTCACAACCGCCTCTAACTCCTGTTCTAGGGAGAATCCCTGGCCCTCAAATGACAATAACGTAAGTTAAATTCATGACACTGAGGGATTTAGAATAGAAATTTCTAGGGATATTCATGGCTTTATCATTTGTTCTAGTGATCTACAAATTTCTTGGTTAAAAGATGTTTATCTCATAGCCCTGTAAAGTTTTCTATTGAAAAAAGATTTAATTAAGTTTACTAAATGGCACTCAGTAAAGCAAGAACACATTGATCCTTTTTAAAAAGATGTTTAACAAGAAAAGTTGAACCAAAAGTTTTTTGTTTAGCTAGAAACTTAACAAAAACATTAAAAGATGAGAACACCTCATTCAGTGTATTCGGATTTGGTTTTAGATTTAAACGGAGGTACTGTTCACATTACACGATAAAGGTGCACTGACATTCTGTGCACACATCACATTTTCATCCTTTTGACATTTTACATTCCTAAAAATTAGATCCTGACTTTTAAAAACATTTCCTAACATATAGCTAGCAACCAGCCTTGTTTAATAAATAAATGAATTATTTTCAATTAGAATGTACTTGGAAATTCTGTATGTACTAGTTTCGATGTTCAAAACTATGAGTCCTTTCAGAGAAGGTGGCTGCCTAGAAACTGCTGCCCTGTGACCTGGTGAAGGAGAGGAGTCAAAATAAGAAAAGGGAGATTAAAATTCTCAAGAAATAAAGAAAATAAGAGCATCAGAAATTCTCAAAGTGACTTGCTATTTAGTTTTCTCTCAACTTAACACACGCTAGAGTCATCTGAGAAGAGAGAACCTCAGTTGAGAATATGCCTTCGTTAGAATGGATTGTAGGCAAGTCTGAGGGCATTATCTTGAGTAATGATTGATGTAGAAGGATCCAGTCCACTGTGGGTGGTGCCACCTCTGGGCAGGTGGTCCTATGTGGTCTAAGAAAGCAAGCTGAGCAAGCCACGAGGAGCATGACAGTATCATTCTTCCATGGCCTCTACTTCAGTTCCTGCCTTGGGTTTCTGCTCTGACTTTCCTTCATGATAAGCTGTAAGATGTAAAGATAAAATAAACCCTTTCCTTCTCAAGTTGCTTCTGTTTGTTGTGTTTATCATAGCCATAGAGAAAGCAAAATAAAACAGGCAGTGGGAAGGTACCTGAAAAGCAAGGAGAAAACAAGACTCATATTAGAGAAGCCAAGCTGAACAGAGCTCCATCTGCATGACTCACTATTGGAGGATGGGAAGCAAAGGATGCCTTCAAAACGTAAGCCAGGCAATCCTGGTGAAAGAGACAGAATGCCCTACTTGTAGGATAATCCCCAAACCATAACAAGCCTCAGCACCAGTTCTAAGTTTTGATGAGAGAGTAATTCCTTCAGTGGACAAGGCGGCAGGAGAGATTCCCACAAGTCACTCTAAGGGCAGGAGTTAGGCACTCTAGTGATAAAGAATTCATTATTTAAAACTGAGCTACCTGGAGGCCTGAGAAAAGGGGCAACGATAAGTCAGGGAGCTTAAATTTCATCTGTCCCAGCCCTAGGATAAGAGAGGGCCGTGGGAAACACTTATACAGAGGAAGTGATAGGACCAGACATCTACAGGCAGAAGAGTGAAGGTGGCATGAGGCTCATGGGACCATAGCTCCTCAACTGAGAATAGCACTGGCGTTTGATAGCTCTGGGCCTATGCTCGGTATGTGAATCCATCTCCAGAACCACCACCTATCAACCCTGCTCTGTTATAGACATCAAGAACTGTGAAGCTCTGGTGATTTACATGATACCCTCATCTGCATCCATCCAGCAGAGTAATTAATACTCAGAAGATCTTCAAAGTACAAAAGCAAATAGCAGTAATTTGGTTGCTTCTCATAACCCCAACCTAATTGGAAAACACCACATATCTAGAAGATGAGCCACCACAGAGGGTACGAGCTGAGTAGTATGGGGCAGGTAAAAACCTGTCCAGCATACAGACTGCAAAGGGAAATGCGGACAGCAGAGCCCCTGTAATACAAGTGAAGGCATATGTGGCAGACATCAGACTCTTTTCTAATAAAGGCTCAAAGCCAGCAGAAGTCACGGACAAGACAAGAGTTCTCAAACTCAAGTGCCTCTCCCCATCATGAATATAACCAGGAGTATCCAATTTGAAGGAGCCTAAAACAAGCTGTTCCAACATTTAAATGTTATTTTCCCATGTGCTTCCCATTTTCTAAGACCCCATTCATTTTTCAGTCTTCTCTCATATATTACATCCTGACAAGTTTCCCCTCCCTCCCCTCCCCCAGCTTCTCCCCCCCCACCTCCCTTCTCCTCCAGATATACTCCATCTCTCCTCAGAAAAAGACGAACATTCCAAGGACATCACTCAAACACACCATAGCATGCTACAATAAGACCAGGCACCAGGCTCATACCGTCACATCTAGGGTCTACGAGACAACCCAGTAGGGGGAAAGGGGTCACACCAGCAGACAAAACAGTCGGATACAGCCTAAGCTCCCACTGTTAGGAATCCCACAAGAGCACCAAGCTACTTACTCGTAACATATATGCAGTAGCCCTAGGATCTCGGATCTCTGCAACCCCCATGAGTCTGAGTCAACTGATTCTGTGGACCATGTTCTCATGGTGTCCCTGACCCCTCTGCTTTCTCCTATCTGATCCTTCCTCCACAGGACATCCTGAGCTCTACCTATGCTTGGGCTGTGGGACTCTAAATTTGTCCCTATCTGTTGCTGGATAAAGTCTCTCTGGTCTCTGTGATGACAATTTTGTTAGGATCTGGTCCCAGAACACTGTTCAGGCAAGACAAACTGTAAGTAGAAGGTTTTGTGGCTGAAGACCCCATTATTAATGGCTTGCTACTAAGAAACATATCACCATTTTTGAAGTTACAATTTTTTGTTTCTACTAAATATATTATATATTTTAGATATCTCATAGCTATTTCTTTATACTTACAAAATATATAATATCTATTATGATAGATGTAGCAAAACACCTTCATAGTGTTTCTATTATCCCTATATCATTCAAAATTCACAAACTTTGGTATGTCAATTACCTGTTCTGGTCTTATTAGCTGCTTTTTGGGTTCCTCTTCTTTGGCCAGATGTACATTTACAGATGCATATATCAGACCTGCGGGCATAGTTGTCAACTTTCCCATCTGAAAAAGACATATCAAAAAGACCACTGTAAGTAAAAAGATCCTCTGTTTCTAAGTCCTGATAAGTATTGGGGGAATCTTGGGAGATATATTAAACATTCAACTATTTCAAATTACTTTATACATTTACATAAACCCCTTGTGCTGCCCTAACTCTTGTAGAGTACAAAAATCTTACTGTCTTCTGCCAAGTCTAATTTTAAATGAACATATATTTCTAGAAGTGGTAACATCACTTGCCGAGCATGCGCAAAGCCCTAGAGTGTATTTGATACTGCAGAAATCTACTGCAGCAGGTAGTGCATGCTGGTAATATTAGCACTCAGGAGGTAGAGGAGAAAAATCTGAAGTTCAACAGTGATTCTTGGCTACGTAACAAGTTTAAGGCCAGCCTGGGCAACATGAAACTGTCTCGCAAACCTCAACTGACTGCCTGATAAGATGGCTCAACAGGTAAAAGCACTTACAAGTCTGAGAACTGAGTGAAATTCCTGATACTCATATAAAAAGCCAGCTGCAGCAGCACACACCTGAAATACCAGGGAAAATGGAAGATAGAAACTGGAAGATCTCCCAGAAGCTCTTGAACCAGTTAATTTGGAGTATGTCATGCCTCAGAAAGAAAGAGAAATCCTGCCTGGAAAAGTTGAGAGTTGTCATCCTCTGACCTCCACAACCATAGCATAGCACATGGATGACTGCACTAACAGACACACATATCACACAGGCACGTATGCAATCAAAAATAAAAGCGCAGATGAGATGACTCAGCTAGTAAGGGTGCTTGCCGTCAAGCCTGACCACCAGCATTCAATTCCCCAAGGCCCAGATAAGAAAAGAGCCACTTCCACAGACGAGTTGTCCTCTGACCTCCACATGAACACAGTGACACATGTTCACTCTGGCGCATGCAAAATAAATAAATGAAATATAACTCAAAAACATGGAAGATTTGGGGCTATTCTATTAATATTATGCTTTCCAGAATCATCTACTTTCTTGAAAATTTTATATGCCTTTAACTGTGTGTCAAGCCTATACAACTAGGAAGGAGAACAAGAAAGGGTAAAACCAGACAGCATGGAAGAACAAAAGTGCGCAAAAGCACAACAGTGACTTAAAAGAGCAAAAGAAACTGGGTACAGGACAGAAGCGGGGGTCAGGGCAGGGTAGTGGAAAAGATGAAAGGAGAAGACAATCTACTGAAACACATGTAGTTTGGAAATGCCATGGTATCTAATACCCTGTATGGAAATGTAAATGCAATTTTAAAACAAAGAAATATTGGGGCTAGAAAGATGTGTCTCAATGGTTAAGAGCACATACTGCTCTTGTAGAGGATCCAAGTTCAGTTCTCGGCACCCACCTGGCAGTTTACAACTTCCTGTGACTCAGCTCCATGGTATTCAATGCCTTAGGCCTCCTTTTAACACCTGCACTGACACACAACACCCACACATTCACATAATTTAAATTGTGCTTCACTAAAATTTTTAAATAAAGAATCAAAATATCACTCACTCCAAGGAGGCTGCAAAACTAGTTTTTACTTCAAAGCATCGCAGTAAATAATATATATAGTATAATTTTTTAAAAATAAAAAGATTATTAGTTATTTTAATATGAGAGAAAATTCACAAATATAATTTATTTGAATTCTTTGTTTTTAGCATATCTTTTGGAAATAAAACATTTTTAGTAAGACATTAGTGTCTGGCTGCAAAGTGGCTCAGTGGATAAAGCACTTTCCATACAAATAAGAAAACTGAAGTATGGACCCCTGTCATGGACTTTAAATAGCTGAAGAGCCTGGAAGTCAGCATATAATGCCAGCACTCAGGAAATAGACGCCGGACTCCTAGAGACAAGCTGCCTAAATGGATTAGCTAAAATAGTGAGTTCCAGCGCTCTGGGTTCGGTAAGAGATCCCACCTCACTGAATTAAACATGGAAAGTGATCAAGGAGGATAAGTGATATCAACCCCTGGCCTATACATACACACATACAAGCAAGTGCTCTCACATATGTGTGCACTCACATACAAATAAACATGCATACACACACCACACAGTCACAGGATATTTAATGCCACTACTTCTAAGTGGCAAACAGTTATAATCCCAGCACTAGGGAAGCCAAGGCAGGAAGGCAAGTTCTAAATCAGATCTGGCTTCACAAGAACTTTCAGATACATGTGTCTTGATAATTCTGCTGTTGTTCCTAGATACACAATGTATTCATGATTAACCAGATCATTAATGATTACAGTACAAAAATTCAAAATTATTAGAACTGATGCCATAAAGCATGCTTACCTATGAACTTAAGGAATTTTGATACTAAAACCCTAAGATGATTATGTGAAATAGGTCAAGTCTTATAGTATTTAAAAACTATTTTTTCCCAAGATAGTAATCCCTAGATAAAAAAAAAAACACCTTTGAAGTATTATAACATATGGACAATCTTAGAGTAGTTACATTACTTCATGCAATACAGTAATATCATCTAGACTTTAAAATAAATTCACATGAATTGATTGGTAATTAAGATCTAATACAAAAACAAATTAGCATACTTTATCCTTTTTAAGTACGAGTTAAAACAATGAAATAGATGTTACTCCATCCATAAAAAGGAGTGGTTGATGGCACCGCATGCTGAAACAGATAAACAAGGGTTGGCAAACTACAATGTTGGGCCAATTCTGGACTGAGTTCTGAGCTAAAATAATGATTGTAAAGCATACTTTAAGGTTTCTAAATGTGACTACAGACTTCACATATTCCACAGAGCCAAAAGTATTATCTGACCCTTAACAGAAATACTACAAAAACATTGTCAATTCCTGATTTAAAAACAAATAAAAACAAACAAAATTATTTTTAAGTACCAGAGGAATTTAAGAATACTATAAAATTATAAGGTAAGGCTGTCAATTAATCAAGTAGCATTAAAATTAGGAAGAAGTGCTCTGGATTTAACAAGAATGAAAGAACTTGAGCTAAAACTATTTCTAACCGCAAAAGTAACAATTTGTCAAGGGCAAATTATAAATGATTTTTTAAAAACCAATGAGAATTAAAATTGGTTCCTCCCAAAGGAGAGCAGGCCTTAGGAAGTGCGCTCTGTAACATAAAGATTATAAATAGCAAAGATAAACAGCACATAACTTTCTCATCCCAGTACAACTCATCCCTTACCAGCATTTTCATAATGAAAATAATTGATTCTTGTTATTTGTGACTGCTCTGCTCTATAAAGTAGCTGGGAACCACAGTTCCTGGGGAAAACCCAGGGTTAGCTTCCCGTGATTCACTGGTTTAATTTTCATCAATATATAACCTCGTTTCACATTCATTTCTAATTTAAGACATTTTGTTTAATATATTTTATTGATTCATTAACGCTGACCTCATGGCCAACAGCACTGTAACTCATGCTTGGACAAAGCTAATCAACATCCAAGGAAGTGGAGGAGGGAGCAGGAAAAGCAGAAGGATGAGGAAGAGGCAAACATTGTCACACAGACACTGTAATGAAATTCTACTCAGGTTACAAGTCTCAGTTTACTAACAGGAGAGACAATATGTAATTCAACAGTTTATGCCAATGAGTATTAATAATATAGCTATGCACAAACGACTTCAGGACACAAATGATTATAGGAACCACCAACCTAGCCAAGCCCTTCTCATCATTTGGTAAAGTAGTAAAAAGACAGCAGATTTCAGAATCAAATTTGAATGTAAATTAAGGTTCTACTTTTTATTCACGATGTGGCTCTGAGAAAGTGAATTCATGTGTCAATGTCCATATGTCTAATGTCACCTATCACAAAGGTATTAACACAGACAAAAGGTTCAGTATATATTAGCTGTTACTACCACTATCATCATCATGGCTGTCATCTTTAAGCTCTCCTAGCCCATGGCCACGACTCTATAGTCTCATCTTAACTCCAGCCAAGTGTAATTGCCTCTGTCAAGTCAAGATAATTTTATTGTCAATCAGATCACCATCCTGCATCAAGAAAATAAATTGGCTTCCTCTTTCCTAACACACTGCTTAAAACCATTTTTTACCTTTCATGTTCTCTGTAATCTATCTCCAATCTATACAGGTAGTCTTCTTTCTCCCCAACTCTTATCCTGAGCTTTTTATTTCATCTGTCACTGGCATGACCATTTACTCCCCAAGTAGACTATTAACTCTTTAAGGTCAGAGGTAGAATATATACTTATTTTCTCTGCCAGTGATGACAGCTTTAACTAGATAGATATGGAGATTCAATAGAAAAGATGTGGGCCCAAAAAATTTGTGAATTAATTGTTTATCACTTACTTTTGATTGCTTCTCAGCCTTTCAGCTAAAATCAAGGGATCATTCAATCCTAAAAAAAATTGCTCATGAAATCCACCACGACATTTTAAAATGTCAGATCTAATAGCAGCAGCAAATGCTGTGGGCAGGTTAGAATAGCTTCACTGCTGGATAAAACTGAAGCTGGCCTACATTATATAATCTGTTCTCACAGAATTACAACCACAATATTTAGCCTTTTGATCAATATAATTTTCTACTTGCTCAAAGAAAGAGAAATCATATATTAGACACCTGTGGTAACATGCCTCAGCAGCTGCTTGGCACCCTGGAATATAGCTATGCAACAAGTACCACATGCAAACAGCTAGCTGGCCTTTCAAATTGAGATTTGCAAAATTCAATTGTGCTTGCAATATTGCAGGTATAAAATGCTTTTAAAAATTTGGCTCAGGAACTGAGTGTGTCTATTTCCAGTACCTAATGAGCTGTGACAAGTTGAGATTAGTCATCAAAATACAGGCCAGCCATTAGCAGCATAATAGAATTTTGGGTTTTCCAGTGCCCTGGGGCTAGTTCACTTGTGAACATCTAAAAGGCAAAGGTAAAAATGGTATCACTGAAGGAACATGGGGCTGTGGAATAGAAAAATTGGGTTCTAGCCTCAGCTCAGCAA